GTTTTTCATATGATTTCTTAATAAAAAATAATAATAAGATCAAACAAAAGAATAAAAATAAAAATAGGATCCTAAATATAAATAATTACACCCAAACTCTGTTTAAAGGTTGGAGAGTATGGGTGGTCTCTTTATATTTAAGAGCCGATCCCAAAATTTTATTTCATTGTCCTGTATTCATTTGTATATGTTTATTTTTAAATTATTATTTGCATTTATTCCATATGCTCATATTTTTTAATTGTTATTATTTTTTTCTTTGTTAATTGTAATATCATCTTTTTTTGCATAAAATTTTTTTTATGGAAAATGTTACTTAAAAAATGAATATGAAAATAAAACTAAAATAATATTTCAAGAGAAACAATTTTTAGTAATTTGCCTAGATGTGTCATAACGATTTTGGGATTGCCAGACGTAAAAGAGTTTTAAAATCAAATAAATGAGGGAGTCACCACTAATCTTTATTAGGGTGTGATTGGCCACTCAAAAAATTTATCTTTTTAATAAAACTATAAAAAACGAGTTTAAAGTTTATTAAAAAGATAAATTTTAGTTTACGAAAAACTAGATTAGGTTGGGAGTCGGTTACGTATGGGAAATGATTAGCACTCCCACAACGCCCATAAATTAGTACCATTTAATTATGCGCTATTTTCGATGTTGGATAAAAATGGTTTCAATTCGAAATTCAACACGAATTTCCTTCATTTTAAAAAATAAATTTTGGTTAAAATTTATTTTTTAGGAATATTGAAGAAATCTTTAAGTTAAAAAATTATCTTAGAATTCTTCAACATCTAGGCAAAATTTAAAATAACTCTTTTCATTTAAGATTTAACTCAACATTCCTTAAAATAAAAAATAACACTATTTGTGAAAGATAATTGTTGGTGACTCTCTAACATCTAGGCAGAACACTAAGAATTATTTCCTTTGGGATGTTATTTTCGTTTTATTTTATAATATCATAATTTTTTTAAAAAATTGTATTATTCTTTTTTATTATAAAATATTTTATCGTCAAATAGTAAATAAAAATTAAAGAGAGAATAATACAGACAATTATCGATAATAACACGCTAACGTACGTATGCTAATGAATGTCACGTAAAATGAAATGCTATTTAAAAATTGGATTCTTAAGTATAATGAGACCACCTTGACTTTTCAACATCTAGGTAGAGCTTAAGTGCGACTGTTTATATTTAAGATCCCAATTTACTGCTATACTTTTTATTTATTAAAGTTATTATTAATGTGAATTAAGAACTCATATGAAAAACTTAATGAAATAAAGTTTCCTTAAATACCCCATCATTTAGGCAGTATTCGAAAGCAAATCATTTCAAATGAGATTTTCACACTCATACGTGTCTTAGGATTTTTAGAATGTTTTGAGTAAGGGCTTGAGTAGAGGTTTTAAGGGTTAGGGTTTCAAGATTTTGAAAATTCAAATTTTAGGGTTTTGGTTTGAGTTTTGAGGGTTTTAGGGTTTGGTTTAAGATTTAGAGGGTCTTAAGGCTTGAATTTTAGGGTATGGAAGGTTTAGGATTTTGATTTTAGAGTTTGGAGATTTTAGGGTTTTAGTTTTAAAAAATAGAGGTTTGGGGTTTTGATTTAAGAGTTCGGATTTTAGGGGGTTTCAGATTAAAGAGATTTTGGATTTTAGGGGGTTTCGAATTTTAAGGGGTTTGGATTTAAGGGTTTTAGAATCCTAGGATATTTAAGAATTAGTATTTAAGGTTTCGTTTTTAAGAAAATGTGAACATCTCTAAAAATCTCTAACATCTAGACGAATTTTCGGAGCAAGTTCGATTTTAGCGATTTTTGAAAATCAATCGAAAATTTCTCATATATATTTTTTTATGAAAATTTATTAATAATAATTCCCTAACATCTAGGCAGAATTATTTATTTAAGAATATGTTTTGATTCTCTCCAATATCTAGACAGGAAAAATAAAAAAATTATTTTATTATTATTATTATTATTATTTTTTAGAGCCTTTTTAATATATATTTTTAATTATTATCTTTCTTGTTTTCATTTTTATTATTATTAAAATAATTAAATATTTATCCTAACAAATTTAAAAATTTATCATGCATAAATATAAAAAAATACTCAAAATAACAAAAATAATAATATATTAAAAAATTAAAAAAAAAATTTTTTACCTGAACCAGACAGGTCAACGGTCCGGTCAACGATAGTTCGGTTGGACCGAAAAGGGTTCGGTTCGACGTGCAGTTCGGTTGAGCCAGTTGAAGAGCGGTTCGAGCCGATCTAGGGAGCAGTTTGATCTGATCTGATCAAACCGGTTCAGAGCTATTGAGGAGCCGGGTTGGCGGGTCGATTGCGTGGACCTTGAGTTGGGTCCGGGTTCACGAACGGATCCTCCCCTGCCCAAACGATGTCGTTTTAAGATTTACTTTTCTATATATAATGTAAAAATCTTTTTTGGTTCATTTTTCCTCTGTTCCAGAAAAAAAAAAAGAGAGCTTTGGGGAGAGCTCCAGAGCTCTCTCGCCTTCATATCGTTGGACCGTCACGTCGGTCCCCTCCTGGGTCACCGTCGACGATCATTTTTTATCGTAAAAAAATGTAAAAAATATTTTGGAAGCTCTCTTCAATGTCTTTTTTTCAGATCTGGCTTTCTTTTCACCAGAAACAGCCCCGATCGTTATAGATTGGGGCTCAAAGTTTTCTGAGTTTTTTGTTTTCGTTTTTTTTTTGAAAACCCGCACTGACAGTCTCTTTTCTTTGTTGTAGGCAAATTTGACGCTGAGGTTCCTCCCTACGGGGAAGATTGTGTTATTATTTTTTTAGTTTTTTTGTTTAGGTATTGGGGGGTTTGTTTGCGTTTTTAGCTTATGTTTGAGAGGGGTTTTTTTTAGGGAATAAAATGAGCTGGGTTTTTTTTTTGGCATTTTTTAAGAGAGTGAAATGGAAAAGAAGCTGGGTGTTTTATAAATGGAGATCTGAGTGGCTGTGAGTGGGCTGGGGTAGGTTGTAGAGGGTGGCTGTCTGGTCTGATGGCTGGACAGGGGGTTGGTCAGGGGCCTGATAGGGGTCGAGGGTTGGACAAGGGCGACGACGATGTCGTACCATCCCTCTGTTTTTTGTCCATCTTCTCTTTTTTTTTGTTTTAATTATTATTTTAATAATTTTGATTTTTAATTTTTAATTTTTAATTAAATCAATATTATTATTAATATTATTATAAAATTATTATTAATATTAAACTGAAAATGAAAACAGTAGACCCAGACAAAATCGGTGTCTACAAGATGTTGGAGAGTCATCAATAATTATCATCTTCAAAGAAATTTTTTTTTTTATTTTTAAGAAATGTCATAGTGAATCTTAAGCAAAAAGAGTTTTCTTTAAATTCTACCTAGACATTAAAAAATTTTGAGGTAATTCTTTAGTTTAAAGATTTTTCTCAATATTCTTAAATAAAGATTCTTATAAATTGATTTTCTTTTTCAAAAAATGAAAGGAATTATTATTAAATTTCAAATTAAATCCAATTTTATCCAACATCCAAAACAACATATGGTTAATTGGTATTGCTTTTTAATGGGTGTTATGGGGGTGTTAATCTTTTCGCATGCATAATTGTACTCTCGAATCCAACTCTATTTTCAAAGATCAAAAATATTTTTTGGATAAAGCTCAAATTAATTTTTTGATTTTATTAAAAGATAAACTTTTTAGGTGACTAATCACACTTAACAAAAATATTGTGACGATTCCTTGTTTTTGTTAATTTCCAAAGTTTTTTACGTCTTGTGGTTAGGTTCATTGACTTACACATTGTGATAGCTTAATGACTCTACTGGAATACTTTTGAGAGTCAGACAAAAAATTAATCATGCATTATCTGAAGTTTTGGATTTAATGGTTTAGTTGATATTTAATTTTAATTCCTTTCATTTTAATTATTTCGAAAAAATAACGCATATTGTTACATCCATACATCGATTTTATCATTTATTTTTCTTTACTTATATTGTTTTAATTGTAATATTTTCCCATACACTTTGTATATTCACTTGTATGTATGAGTTATAGACTCGAGTTTTGTCCCTAGTAAGAGGAAGTAAAGTAGATACATTCTCGTAGGTGATAACTTTTGTATTTGCTAACGAAACACTCTCACTCAGATTGAATCTTTTTCGTTTGTACCTTATAATAGATGATGATCAAAGTGCTTTACTAGTCTGTAATAGACGATAATGTGAATAACAATCTAAGAACCTTTAAATGTACAAATTCTAACCCAGCTTATAGTGAACCTTAGGAAGGCTAACTTAGGTAGAGTCATGTGAAACCTTCTTGTAGAAAAATATTTTAGTTAGGACACATGAGGAACATTCGGATAGTATGTATTTAGGGGTAATAATAACTCAAATAAGGCTAAAATTTTTGAAAAAAAAAAGAAACAAAAGAAAAATTTTCTTCCAATAATTTTTTTTAACATGCATTTTGATTCGTCTAGTGCTTGTTTAAAATTTACATTTTCAAAAAAGTATTTTTTTACTATTTTCTAATAAAAACAAAAGCATGTTTTTTTAAAAAAGATGGGTTTCTTATTTTCTTTGTTTATTGGCCAAATAATAAAAGCATAAACATGAAAAAATTCTTGAATTTTAGTCATTTTATGTGCTTTTTTTTTTATAGGAAATGTTTTCTTGAATTATTATTTCTTTCTATAGAAAAAAATGAAGAAAAGAACGAAAGCTTTGATTTTGAAAGTTATTTATTTGATCTTTTTTACGTTCATTCTCATCATTTTTTGCATTTAAAAATAATAAGTTTGTACATATACTTCATGGTAGTGTCGATTTTATTAGATTTGCATAACACATGCATTACACTTCATGTAAATATATTTTATTATGCATGTAATATGTTAGTGCATTTTATAAAAATATGATTACATTAGTCATAGGAATATATCTCATTACTCAAGAAGTATGTCATTGCATTTCAAGCATGTGGATTCGTAAATGATATGATTTTATAAAACATACATTGTACAGATTGTATTTTTTGTAAACATATCTCACCACTCTTGCAATAGAACATTACATTTTTTGCATGCATAGTTACAGGAGATGTAACTTTTATCTTTTGGGTTTTGTACATATGAGAATCCATAATGTTGAATTTGTTCATATAGATAATTAAATATTTAGGATAACAAGTTCTAATATATCATATATGTTTAGAATAATTTGAAGTCCTTATTATTATTTTTTTTTTTGTGATTTTTTGAGTCAATTAGGATTGAAAAATGGATAGAGAGAGATCTTGCATTTATCATTAACTAGACTCATATTGGTACATTATCGATAAGTTCTTGAAAGGAGTGGAAGGAGTTGAAGGGTATATAAATTTTGTATTTTTCTCAAACGGAGTATGTTAATAGGATAGAATTAAATGTTTTTGCACCAAATGTTAAAATAAACAATTTTATCAAGTGGATGGTGTACACAAACACCTTTATTATAAAATTTTTGCATTGATTACACAAATTGGTATGCATATAAAGAAGTTCAACAAGGTAATCATCAATAAGTAAAAGATGAAGAATTTGATTTAATATATCAAGTACAAAAACAAAATCTATATGCCAAAATGGTTATAGATGCTCTATTTTCAAATTTTGACTCAAGTGTTAATTTTGGTAATAAGTCAAGATTTGAGGAGTAACAATGAATTCCAAGGCACCGAACTTTTGTTTTTTGATGAATGATGTAGATGAATTGTTGTGGCCAAGTTGCTATGTTACAATTTTTAAATAGCGAGTCACAGTTTAATATGAGTGAAACATGTTTTAATTGTTTCATGATGATGATAAGGGGTATACTTCTAAAAGATGATAATTTATTGAAAAACTTCCACCGAATGAAGAAAAAAGTGGTGAAATTTAATTTGATTTAGTAACAATATATGCATGTGAGAACAATTGCATCTTGTTTTATAAAAAAGAATGCCAATTTAATTTATTGTTCAATATGTAGTCATCCTCGATAGAAACCGAGCAAATCAAATAGGTAAGACCAAAGAAAATTCTTTACAAGATTTTGCATTACTTGTCTCTTATACCAAGATTTCAAAGGCTTTATTTATAAAAAATAATTACAGAATCTATGACATTACATGCAATAATTGGAGTCTTAATGGAATGCTCATTCATTAGGTTAATTGCAAGGCTTTGTAGCCTTTTCAGTTATACATTTGAATCTTTTACAGTTGAATCTTGAAATGTGAGATGAGGTTTATATGTTAATGGTTTTGTCTATTTCATTTGGCCATAAGATTTTATTATTGTTGGCAGGTTATGCTTGTTGTATATAATTTATCTTCATGGATGTGTATAAAACAACTGTATTTGTCTTTTAGCATGATCATTTTGGAAAAAAGTAGTCCATCATAAAGTATAGATATTTTTTAAGGCTTTTAATAGATGAGATACAAATATTGTGGAATAATGGTGTTGGGAGTTATAATACTAATGTGAAACAAAATTTTTTTTTATCTAAGAATAGTATTGTTATGGATAATTAATGATTTTTTTACGTATAGCATATTATCTGAATGGAATACCAATAGAAGATTATCATGTCTTTAATGATGGAGCATATAAAGGCATTTAGATTGAATTATGAAAAAAAACCTTACTTCGTTATTGTAATCTATGGTTTTTGTATCCTAATAATCTTTTTAGGAGAAAAAAAAAGAATTTTTGAGTATAATCCTTGATTAAGAAATTGTCAGATGAACTACATATAAAATATCTCATTTGACACAAAATGTTCCGAATATAAAACTAAGAGGCCACCGCTTGTTACTTTAATAGATCTTTTTGCTTTCTTATTAGATAATACACAACTCAAGTGTTGTTTAAGCTTTTGATTAGATAAAAATTTTTACCACAATTTTGTCTAATAAGGATGAAATTAATAAAAATAAATGTTTAGAAATTTAATTGATTGAAAAAAATGATAAAAATTTAAATAATTATTGAATTTTGGTTGGAAAGTTTTTTTTTTACGCTTTAAACTTTTATTCTAGTGCATTAATAAAGGAAAAAAGAATAAGCACGCCGAGAATATAGAAAACAAAATTCCTTTGGAATTTATTATTTTATTCTTAACTAAAATAACTTACCCCGTAAGAAAGAAAGAATAAATAGTGTGAGAAACATTCCCAAGAGTTGAATCAAATCGAAGAAGGATAGGATGTTGATTGTGTTCGTTGTTGGGTTGGTTGTCGGTGTGTTTGCATTCCTCAGTTTGGAAGTCTTGGGAGTGTTGTTTGTGTTAAATCGATTGAACCGGAAGATCAAACAAGAATCTGATGCAGCCCACAATCCCCAACCCCAACTGTCCCTTGATTTCCCTTACAACAAGCAGGTATTTCCCCATTTCCTCTCTTGGCTCTGATTTTTTTTATCTAAGATTTTTACTTCATTTCTGTCCTGTCTTAGGGGATTGTCTGGGTTCTTGAATCGGACAAAATTCCACCCAGAGAGCACAAGCGGAGAAAGGACATGCCGTTGGAGGTTACTCCTGTTCGAAAACATGCCAAAATCCAACACAACAACCTTATTTTGACACATTCTGATGCTTCCCGCACAACTATTCCCCTCAAGGGCTGCGTCATTGAGGCTGTTTCTGCTACTAACTTACCCTCAAGGAAATGGTATTGTGCCCCTTTCTTTCACTTTTATTTCTTGTTTCAATGCCCATGTATTTAGAACACCATTTCTTACTTCAATCTCAAGCCTATCCATCCTGCTGGTGCCGAGCTCTCTTGGTGAGTGCAGAAACCTGAAATCACAAGTTGGTCTTGTGACAGGTCGGTTGATAGCAAAGGCCGGAGGTTTTTCTGGCGTTTGTACACCAACACTTAAGTCAGTGCTTGGAATGAGAAGGAGAGAAAACTGGAAAGTAGATATGAAAGAATGAATTGGTTATATCTATAGGAGTGGGGTTATTTATACCTGTGTAGTGAGGGTGTTGGACATAGGTTGCCCCAGGTCCAAGTCACAGTGTTAGGGCTGACGTTGCTGGCCAGAGTTGAGCTGGCAGCCAACGACCCAATTGGAGGTGACAAGTCAGCATTTCCACATGATATCAAGTGGTCAGCTGAGGTAGTGATATGGAGCCCGGGACTTCAGGTTGGCTTGATATGTTAGCTTGGGTCAAATTAACAAAATTGCTCCCGTTTGATGACTCACATTCTAGGGCAAAATACTTGGACCACAAAATGCTCCTAACACATCCCATCCTTTTGCTTTAGGTTGTAAGTTCAAAGATTGGATTTCAAAAGGAATTCTTTTCAAAACTATCAACTTATCCCTCTGCAAATTATTATGTCCGCAATGGGTCAAACAGTAACATCAGTGATTATTTTCTCATTCTGTGAAATAAAGGTTTTGTTGACATGACATCATTGTCATTCTGAAGAATGTATGTGCCACACTTGGTTTGCCACCTTCATGTCATACTATACCATTCTGATGTGACATAATCTAACCTGTCGTTCTAGTTATGCACCTTCAAAATTTTGACGTTGCTTCATTCCTTTGCCTTGTATTGATGGTTTGACAGGGCCAAGAGATTTCCCATAAAAGTGGAAAGCAAGACTTCGCCAATCTACAATGGCGGTAAAATCATTTACCTGTATCTGGAGACTTCCTCGGAGAAGGAGTCATGGTGCAAAGGTCTTCGTCTTGCTTCATGTGAGGACAAAGAAAAGCTGAACTGGTTCACCAAGTTGAATGTGGACTTCCATGCTTACCTGGCATCTTTGAATGCTGGATATCCCTCATTTATGAAACCCTCCTTAGGTTTCAGTGCTGAGCCAACAGATAAGGGAAATAGGTTTGATGTATCTTCATCAAAAGTTAGATTATTTTGGAGAAAGCTGTCAAGAAAGACATCAAAACCTGGTATAGAAAATAAGGGAATTTGGACTTCTCAGTCTGCCCGTGAAGAGAGAAAGGCTTGTGAGAAACAGCCTCCATTCCAAGATTCAGTGACAAACAAGGTGACTAATAGTTCGACTGAAGAAAATATTGCATTTACATTACCACATGGTTTTCCTCGTTCAGCAAGTCAAAGTTGTACTTCTGTTGCTTCTGATGCTGATTCTGAACAAGACAGACTTAATTTCGATGAAGGAACACTCTGTTGGAACTTGTTAATTTCTCGAATCTTTTTTGATATCAAAGGCAATGAAGGGTTGAAAAGTTCCTTTCAAACACGGATTCAGGTTGGACAGTCACTAAATTCAGACTTGGTGTTTTTCTTTTTTGTTTGTGCGTGGTTTTGCTTCTTCATGTTTCTTGTTGGTTCATTAGTTGTATGTTTTGATTCAGTCTACTCTGGCTCTGCTTGTTTGATTCCACCCTGCTGAAGGATAAAATGGAACTTATTTTCTGCTGCTAGGTATAGTTATGTTTACATTTTTTTTTTGTTGTTAAAAAAATTGCATCTTGAGTATTTGATTTATTTTCATGCCAAAAAAGGAGAAAAGAAACTTGTTTTGTTCTTTTTTTCAAGGGTTGTATTTTTAGTTTCTTGGTTCAACCTCTCCTTTTATTCGTACATTTACCTGGGATGGCAAATTTCTGGTTTTTATCCAGTATTTTGGTTGTCAATGCAGAATACATTTCTCTTGTATGTACTATTATTGCTGCATTGATGTTTTGATTCAGATATTCAATGGCCATTTTACCTTCTTCTTTTTTATTTAAATAGCTCTTCTGAAAAGTATTTGAACGTGCATTCGAAGAAAGTTCTGATTATTTTTATGATTTGATATAACAGAGAACATTGTCCAATATGAGGACCCCTAGTTACATAGGTGAAGTCATTTGTACTGACATAGACATTGGGAATCTCCCACCTTATATCCATGCGATGAGGCTCCTTGCCACAGACATGAATGAGGTATGGGCATTTGAAGTTGATGCTGAATATTCTGGTGGAATTCTGTTAGATGTTGAGACAAGACTTGAAGTTCGTGACCTAGACTTTCAAAAAGGCATAGTAGATACAAATTCAGAATCAAATTCTGTTGAGAATATGTCTTCAGACCTTCTTGAAGGCTTTGAGCATTTTGGAAAGCATTTGAATCTTCCTAAAGAGGATGAGGTTGAACCTAAAGTTGGTTAGTATACTAATGATATTGAATATTTCTGCACTTCCCCATCAACATGGCTCAACAGATCTGTGTGATACATAAATGTGGTTTGTTAATTGTTTAATTATGTAGTAATTGTCAAAAAACATGTATTTCCATTTATGTTGAAAACACTTGGACAAACGTTGGCAAAGATCAAAATTTGCACCCACTATAGGAGCTTATAAATCACTACTTGAAGAAATTCCTAGATGGAAGGCCTTGCTGACTCCAAATCTGTGTCTGGTGTTGTCTTCTCTTGGTATCTTTCCATTAATGATGTCCCTCTCTGTTCAGGAGGTTTATGTAGAGAAGCAGTAGTATGCGTATGAGATGCCTATTCCCAAATGTTTATGAAACACCTACTTTCTTGGTTTCTTGAAATCTGTTTGTATAAGATTACCTACATTAGCCTAGTAGTCAGCTTTGTCATTTGAGGTCCAGTAAACCATGAAAGAGTTATGCAAAGGGAATTAGCCATAGTTAATTGATTTGAGGAATTTTCCCTTAAAAAAATTTATGCTTCTTATTTCAAAGCTGAGATGAGACTGATGTAGGACAGCTTAGCACAGTGTTGAAGGTAGGATTTGAGAGTATGAGGCTAGCGTTTATAGTTAAATTATGCTCTGAAATTCTTAATCAAAACAGGAAAAAATTGAATAAAGAAAAGACCCCTAAGCTTCACATCCAGGTTTCTTTGATTGCATCATACCTAGGATTCCTTAGGAGTCACCTAAGATTGATTGCATCACACAGTAACAGTAGCAATAATGCTGAAAATATCTTCAAAATAATCTATCTTTAAAAAGAAAGAGTATTATTTAAATAGTGTCCTACCCCCCCTAATGCTAAAAGAACTAGAACCCCGATTCCTAGTAGGACTTAAGATACTTAGATTCCAAATAGAAAATTAACAAACTTGACTTAAATACAAAGCCTAGTAGTATAAAGAAAACCAAGCTTAGATACTAAACTGTAATTTTAATGTAAAATAAAAAATATAACATTGGGCCCAATAAATACAATCGAATAACAATATAAAATCTTATGTAAGTTAATCTCTAAATTCTTCTCCGCATTCTTTGCCAGAGATCTTTTCTGAAGTCTGCTTTTATGGCTCCATTAGGGCAGTCTAAAACTATATTGCACCTTATGGTTCTGCTTTTATTTGATCCTAAATATATGCTCATGGAGCAGTTATGGTTGGTACCTTGACTTCATTCGCTATCTCCTTATCCGACACGGAAAGACACTTAAAAAAAAGAAATAACAGGAGAGAAATGAAGATTTTCTTAGTTGAAATTATCTCTCTCTAGTTGTTTGTATTTTAGCTGAGGAGAGAAACGAGATGATTTTACAATAATAGAAATTTATATCCTCGATTTATTGATGAACTTCATTGATGTATTTGTAAAATTCTAGGAAATTGTGTTAGTTAGTTTCCTTTATCTTCCAATCTATCTACATTTTGTAGATCTACAAAGTGGTTTAGGAGAGGAATGTATGCATAACGTTTTTTATCCTCTTTTCATTTCTTTCCACTCTTTAATTTTCTACCCTAATGAGTTCAACATTTCACTTTGTTTCCACCACTTTTCTTTATTCAAAGTTGACATATCTTTTACTTTGTGGGCTGCTCTTTGAAAAGCACCCCTTTTGTAGCTTCACCTAATTCATCTAACTATAATTCTGAATTGATCCTCTGCTTGTCTGTTTTTGCTTTCTGTTAATCTGGCTAGGAGAAGTGTGTTATTTTCATCCTTTGATTTCACTCTTTTCGGGTTTCAGATGGTCTAAAAGGCTCTAAAACTACATCGGCAACAAGTTATGTGTCTCAATGGAAGTCTGTACTAAATTCCTTAGCCAAACAAGTTTCACAGGTTTGTGTATAATCTCTTTATACGTATAGGTGTTTCTGCTTAAAGGAACTCATAAAAATGGCATTCAATGGTTATGAAGGTATTTATGTAATTAAAGAAGAAACTTTTGAATATTAATGTAAACGAACACCTCCATCTCCAATTTATAATTTAGCTAAAAATAGATAGTTTAAGATCTTGCAAATTGAAGAAAGAACTTTATAGCTGCCAATTGAAATTCTTTCAACCTGGTATTTGAGGATCTAGAGGGAACCCTTATTTTGTTTCTCAATTGAATGTAGAATAAGGTAACCTATCCTTTCTGCATCTAAATAGTATGCTATTGAACATAGCATAAGACATTTGGATATTAGTTTGTTAGCAAAGGATACTTTAGAAGAGGATTCCCACAAAAATGAAAATGTTGAGATTCATCTATGCACCATAAGAAGTGATAAGAGAAGAGATTCAGTGATAAGAAGGTGCAACTAGCACTATTCATGAAGGTAGTCATGTAATTGCGGAAGAATTATATTAACATTGATTTAAACTGAAAATATTTTATCCCTAAATATAGAGTGGTCTAGGAACTTGCAAATTGAAGAATTTTATAGTCATTCCGCAAAATATCTTTTGGCTGGTATCCAAATATCATAGAAAACTTTAGTTGCATGTTATGAAGCACAGAAACAGATATACCCTCCACATATTCGTGTTGTTTCTATGTCTGACATGGATATGCCGTACATTGCTGGATAGGTGTTTTATACTTCCCAATACATTGAAAAATTAAACAAATGAATTTGTTATTTTGGATACAATGTGGATTAAGTTACAAAAATTGAAAGAGAGACAGAAGAAAAGAGGGAGAGAAGTATAAAACAATTCAATCTTCCTTTGGGATTGAGTGATGTTGTTCTACACAGCTGAGACTCAAATTAGAGGTGAAATGTTGGTTAGAAGATTATGTGACACATGGAATGAAAGGAGATGCTGCAGCTGCTAAAGAATATGGAGTTGAAGGAGATGCATCTGTTGTTAAAGAAGATGGAGTTGGAGATGCAACGCTGGTGTTCTGGAGAAGAAGATGAGAAATGAGTTAATAGAGATAGGGCTTAAGTATAAAATTGGGTTGGCTCAAATGGGCTTTTGGGTGGAAGGTTTTAAAGCTTATTGCGTTAGAATTTTAGGCTTACAAAACAATTGACTAGATGAAACAAAATGCCATAATTTTATTTAAGTTATAGTAAAATTATCTGAAGACTCTATGATAACAAAATGCTATAATTTATCAATTAATATATTTGATAGATTTTAATGCATACCGTCTAAATTTATATAAAAATTAATAAAAATTTATTTTAAAATATTTTCTAATGAATAATTAATTAAATTATACACATTAAATTTATATTTTATTGTTGGATCCCACTGTGTCATGTCCTAATTTTTCAAAAGTTGTTGTGTCATTGTATTCATGTCATGTTGTACCCTTTTCCGCATCTGTATTCGTGCTTCCTAGGTTAAATGCATTAATTAATTGTAGTACTGGAGCATAAACATGGACACATGACACAAGTACGACACAATACGGATATGGGAACATGTCAGATTTTTTAAAAATTAGGATACACTATATAACAAGATATGGCAAGATACTTCAAATACAAAAAATGATATTCTGAAATATGAGGAAGAAAAAAAGAGATTGTGAAATGATGCAAAACAATCATAACTTAGTTTAGTTGAACATCATCTGGTTTAGTAATGGGAAAAGGGAATCAAATACTCTGTAAAAATTGTCATATGCTGACTTTGCTTTGATCAAAAAATTTTCAACTTTGACCTCTATCATTTTAAATATTCTAATTAGTTAAATTTTATAAAATATATTTGAAAACTAGCTCATTCAAAGTTTTTAGAAAATATTATTCATATTTTATCTTTTACAAAAATAAAATACAAAAGGGTCAAAGTTTTAAATCTTTTACCAATAAAAAGTCAACTTGCAACAAGTTTTTTTGGGATGGAGGGAGTAATAGTTAGTTCAGTTTGATTGAAAAATATCAGTAATAAGAATAATTCAATCATAAGAGTGGAACTGTTATATTGTTGGATAGATCAAACATGTTACCGGATTAGGAGGTCAGGGCTGCTGAAATTATTGCCGGAAGCAATTAGCATATGTGCTTTTGGATTAGCATTTAGGTGTCATGATTGTTTCCAGCTGATTTTGTGGAAACTGGCTTTTATGAATTGGGAATGGTTTAAAAATATGTAATATTGTAGCAAATTTGAAGCTATGGGTCTGTGTATGTTGCTGTGAATTGTAATTGAAGGGCAATAGCAGGCTTTGATTTGTGATTCTGGGGTTTCTGATCAATGGCAAGGAGGGTTATGTCTTGGAATATTAGAAATTTAAGCTTCTGGATCTGACTAGTGAGGCTAGTAGCCTGCAGAAAATCATATGAAACCAGACGAGTAAACCATTACAAAATAGAGATTTTAACCAAATAATCATATTTCAATAGGAAAATGATTCTTGAATTTGGTTGACAATTAAAAAACTCAGATCATGAAGATCAGAAAGCAGGCAAATGAGATTTGCTGAAGCAAAAATATGATTCATTTGTTGTTGTAGGGGCTTCTGATTTGGCCCCTCAATCTCAGTAGGATGGTTCATATATTATTAATGTAATGATTTGTCATGCCATAATGTTCTTAACAAACTCAGCTGATATTTGTGTATTAGCGTTATCCCAGGTCATCAAATGGATTATGGATGGACTAGTAAACTATGTAAACAAAAAACTGCTACTATATGGATGTTTCATCATGTTATAATGAGTTGAACGTACTATTAATATATCACTATTAAAATTTATTCCATAACATCTGTCACTGAAAAGAAAATGTTTTCTTTTATGTGCTTAAACTAATTGATATATCAAACTGTAGGTGCCTTTGTCTTTGTCAATAAGGGTTGCATCTCTTCGAGGAACATTGCGGTTATATATAAAGCCACCTCCTTCTGATCAGTTATGGTTTGGCTTCACATCCATGCCTGATATAGAGTTTGACCTTGAGTCTTCTGTTGGGGAACACAAGATTACTAGTACACATATTGCTTTATTCTTGATCAGTCGGTTTAAGGTATGAATATCATTTGTTACATAGTGACATATTGCTGGAAGAGAAACGTATTTCTTATTATTTTGTTTTATTCCTTAGTTGGCTTAATTAAAATTTCCTTGTGGAAGAGTAAAAAAGATGTTTATAAAAAAATGGAATTGTGTTTTAAAAGAAAAGAGGAAGTTACGTGATTATTGATTAAAAAGAAGTGATTAGTTGTCTTTTTTTTGCACGAGCATGTGAAACAAAAAAAAATAAAATGAAAAGACATGTGTCCCTACTTTTATATTTATTATTGTAATTTTATTTGGTTTTGAATAAAAAGAAGTGATTAGTTGTCTCTTTTTTTTCAAGTGCATGTGAAACACAAAAGAAGATGAAACGACATGTGTCCCTAGTTTTATATTTATTATTGCAAGTTTATTTGGTTTTAAAGTAATTTTATCAGCTGAGTTGATCTTATCTAACTTGCAATACCAAACTAAGAAATTGACATTATGTATTATTAATATAAATTCTCTCCCCACCACCCCTCCCCTAGCAAGAGAAGGAGAAGGCTTACAGTCCTACTGTCTTTTCTAATACACTTTATGTTCCCTAGTGTTTTAAGAAAGAAAAGATTTTAACTTTGTTACTGTATTTTATCCAACTTTTATCTTTCTCCTTTTATGCTGATACACACTTTGTTCAGCAAATAGGAAAATCTTGGAGTATTTTGTTTTACCACATTTCCACTTGTTAGGGTGTTTGCTGCACGTCATATCTTTTTCTAATCTTCTATTGCATAGACATATTTTGGAATACTGAGATTGAAGATGGTATGGTTCTTGATTGTTCATATTGTTAAGTTTTGTTGGCTAAATTTGCCCCTTCAATTGTTTATATAATATTATTTTGGTCAATCACAATCATCTTCTTACAAGTCAACTCATGCCTATGTAAAGTATTTTCCCTGAGTATGATCTTTTATCTCTTGCCTCTGGGCATTGCCCCAGCTATAGAAAACATATAATGAGCTATTTGTCTCAATTTTCATTGCTGGACTTAGCATTGATCCAATGAAAGAAAACTGCCGAGTAGGCTTCTGCTGATGGTTCCGTCACTTGCGCAGGCAGCCATACGGGAAACTATGGTGCTTCCAAACTGTGAAAGTGTATGCATTCCCTGGATGTTAGCAGAAAAAGATGATTGGGTCCCAAGGAAAGTTGCCCCATATATATGGCTTAATCAAGAAGCAGTTGCTGATAATAACATTGTGCGTGAAGCTCTAGGTCCTCAACTTACTGAATCAAAAGCAAAGGAAAATAGTAGATCCTCGAGTTCTCATCCAGAAAGCAAGCATCTAAAGCCAAATGCGGATTCCTTTCAGCTGCCAGTCATTGAGCCAAAAGCCATACCGTCATCAGGCTCTGAGGTGTCTTCTTCTTCTTCTTCTACTGTAAGGAATAAGTCCTTGCAAGATCTAAAAACTCCCCTTCTTGCAACTGATGAAGCAGGCCAGCAGAATAGACAGGAAGCTTTGGATTCTCAGTCATTATCTAGGTCTTTGACAGAGGTTGAAAGGCTGAGTGATGTAATTGATGAGAATGATTCGAGGGCAAAGAAGATGGGGAGGAGGGCAAGGATGCTTGACTTGGGGAAGAAAATGGGAGAGAAACTTGAAGAAAAGAGGCGTCACATTGAAGAAAAGAGTAGGCATATTGTTGAGAAGATGAGAGGACCTTGACTCAACTGAAACAAAAACTAATAGCGGAAATTCACAAGGCATTCTTCATGCTTTCTCTCGTTTTCTGCTTAAAATGTCCTAAATGAAGAGCTAGCTATATCAAAGGAATAGTATTACTAGAGGAGGATGAGTGAGCTTTATTTGGTTATTAGTTAACCCATTCAAATACTTTTGTTATCTAATTTTCACCATGGTTATAAATTACATATGTAAATGTATAGAAAGTTGAAGATATCTTTGGCTTCAACTACACATATCATGTGTATTTTTAAAATATGAAATAATTTATTTTGCTATGGACTGATAAGTAGATATGATAATTTGAAATATTATATGATGACATGATATAAAAATAATACGAATAAAGTATATAAAGATAATATGATTTAAAATTTTAAAAAAATTATAAATAAATTTAATAAAATAAAAAAATTATATTTTATGTTTTTATGTTCACATAAATTGTGATATGTAATTTTTGGATAAAATATGATATAAATATAATAATTTATATGGTACGATAATACAAATTGTCAGGTTTAATCATAAGTCTCCTTGTTTGTTGAAACCTTGGAAGTCCACTCATGCATGCCTGTCGAAACCTTGCCACAAACTTCATTCAAACGCACAAAACTGCCCTAACCCAATCAATGATTGCTCACTTGAGACTAAGAGAAGCAATAACCAGAGAGCCAAAAATCTTCTTCTGGTTGGTATTATCTTACGTAGTTGAAAGTTGTGTTCATTGGTCATTTCAATCTTCTATGGCACAAAATTGGTTGACCATCTTCAATTGAACAGCTACTTATTATTATTATTATTATTATTTTGTCTTACAGTGTTTGTGATGGAAGAAGATATATGATTTTATGGCATGAGTAGTGTTTTATTTAGCTAGTTGAATACAATGGAATGCCTCAGGATTTGAAATTCTAACCACATGATGGATCAGTCTAGGAATTTTTCATAGGAGCAGGATCCTCAGGTTATCTATTGGATAGCCAAAATGTTGTAGAAATTTTAGATAGGGTGGGTTTGGTTTTAATTATTTGTTAATCTGTACTTGATTGGAACATTGATTTGATTATCTTCCACCCATTATATGAGGTAGTAAAGCTAGCTCAACCCAAATATGCATCAATGATCTTTAAAATGATGTAAAACTTTGAAATGACCTATCATTAATCGAATGAACCCAAGCTTGAATTGACGTTGAATCAAATATGGACCTGAGTTTTAACATAATTAAAGAAGCTTTCATCATTTTTTCCCTAATATTAAAATTAAAGTTTATAGGATAAGAAAGGCATTTTCGTCCTTAAACAAAATTCATAGCTCATTAGACTACTTTTTATGATTTATAATACTAAATCAAATATAATATGAATTTGATATATAATGATGGATCTTAATAATTAATTTTAAAAGAATCAATTAATATTATATTAAATCTTAATTTTTTTTATAAAATATGTTTTATTATACTATTAATATATATATATATATATATATGAGATAAGATCAACTTAGATCAGTGTAAAATTGTTTAATTTTATATATTTTTTAAATAATTTATTTTAATAAATATAGTGGATGAGAGAGATAAGTAAAAAAAAATAGTTTAATAACATATCTTGAATTTATTAAAATTAATTGTTAAAATAATATATAAAACTAAAAAATTTCACACATATAAATTGATTTCTTCCTTAAATATATATACATATATATATATATATATATATATGCAAGTAATATACTAACAAAATATATTAATTTTCTAAATTATAAATTTTATCGATTAATAAACCATTGTACAAAAAACATAATACATGGAATAAATAACTTTACTTAAAATTGTAAGTAATTTTCGTTTTAAAAAATATAAATAAATCCATTTTAAATAATATATTTTTCATTAAAACAAAAATAAAATAAAATAAAATATATCATTAAAAGAATAAAATTTGAAATTTGAGCTTAGAAGTAAAGTGTTTGTTAACCTTTTACGAAGAAGTTTCATATGACTTTTGTGTTGAAAAAATTGGCATTATAGCAAGAGAAAAAAAATTAAGATAAAATTAAAAGTTAAAAATTATGCATATATATATTTATATGTTTAACACTTGATTGAAGATTTTAAATATTTGTAAGTAATGATTGATTAGTATAATAAATAAATAATGTGATTTTAATACATCTTAGATTATTATGAATAAAACTAAATTATGAGATCACATAAAAATAAATAAAATTATAATTAATTTTATTATAATATATATGTAAGGGGATCTAAAAATTTTGGGCAACCAATATCTACCATCCGCCTCCGCCCTAATTGAAGCAACTAAATTTAATGTCAAGTCTTTTTCCCCCTCTTTAAATTTTAATTAATTATCAGAGAATAATTATAGAGAGCACAATCACTTCAATTTGACAGATATGTATATAAATCCCTACTTATATCTACTATTTGGCCCAACTGATGCAACTAAATTTAATGTTGAGCCTTTTTATTAGAGAATAATTATAAAGAGCACAATCATTTCAATTTGATAGATGAGTATATAAATAATATTAATTTTGTAGATAATGAAGGAAGGTCGGGTGTCCACGTGGTACCTTTATCTTCCTTTATTATTATTTTTTTAAATATTTTTTTAATTAATTAATTTTTTATTAAATATATATAAATTTTTTAAAATAATGGTAGTAGGGATCATGAAATAATTCATATTTGATTGATTTTAAATTGTATCGATTTAATATAAATTTATTTTGTTTAAAAAAATCGAGATTATATCAATTTTTTTTTAAAAAATGAGATCAGATTGGAGATAGATTTAAGATGATTCGTTCCATCTCAAGTGTTCATGTGATACCTACACCTTTTTTTTATTTTCTTTGTTTTTTAAAACTTTTGTTTTTTATTATCCTTTTTTAAAACTTTTTTTAATTTTTATTTTTTATTAGATTAATTGTGTAATAAAAATGTCAATTGAGATGAAGATGACAAAAGAGCTCATATCTTATGGGTTTTGATTCGTCCTAATCCAATTGATTTTTTTTTTCTTTTAATTAGAGATAATTGGGTTGAGTTTTTTCTAAAACGAGTTTAAATTAGAGCTAAATTTTAAAATTTATATCTCAGCCTTAGTATATATATAAAATATATTTTATTAGTTATTTAACTTTATATTTATATATTATTAAACATATATTTAATATATTAATTTAATAAATTTATGTACCATCTCATTTGATTTTGTAGACATCCTATTTTATCTGAGATTTTTTGAGATTCATTGAACTTTGAATTTTAATTTTGATTGTGCAATTCAGTCTTAATTGGAAAAGTGAATTTTGAGTTTAAAGCTTAAGTTCTAAATTTTATTTGTATTTTAATTTTTTTTAGTTTAATTTTTGTTTGTTTGTAAAAAAAGTCAAAGTCAATTGGTAAAAAAGTCAAAAAGGGTGAAAAAGAAAAAAAAAATATAAGATTTTGTATAAAAAATCTTAGATTTATATTAGATTTTAACTCTTGGATTCTATATTAGATTTTAACTTTAATGGTTAAATAATTTTGAAAAAATTTGAGGCTCAATTTATTGAAAAAAGAAAGATTACATAGAGAATAAAATTTGAAGAGAAATCTTAAATTTGGTTGAATTAATTTCTTTCAAATCGAAAAGGATTCAATCTCTATATAACGACTTTGAATCTAAGATCAAAAGGAAGGGCCTAATAGTAATTGACTTCAAGATCAAACGGAGGTCATTGAAAAGAGAGAAAATTTGGTCAAAATTTTGAATTAATAAGGAATAAGCAATCAAGCAAAAAAAAAATTGCAAGAAAATCCAGTTGGACTTTTTAGAAAGAAAGTTAAGATTTATGATAGAAAACATTAGTTGGTGAAGAATTGTTGGAACTCGTGATCCATTGAGGTAATGTTATTATTATTATTTTTTGCATAATTTTTTTAATATTTAATTGCTTACTCTTATTTTTATATTTATTGCATGATATTTATTTTTACATGAATTTGCATGACTAATATTATATTTACATGCTAATTTATTTGCCTAATATATTTGTTTGCATAATTAATATATTTATTTATGTGATTTATTATTATATTTGCATGACTATTAATATATTTATTTGTATGATTATATTTAATTTAATTGCATGATTATTAATATATTTAATTGCTTGATGATTAATATATTTATTGGCATGATTATATATTTAATTGCATATTTTTTTGCATGATTTATATATTATTGTTTGCATGATTATATAGTTAATTTCATGTTTATTTGCATGATTAATATATTACTATTTGCATGATTATATATTTAATTCCATATTTATTTGCATGGTTTATATATTTTATTTGCTTGATTATATATTTAATTACATGTTTATTTGCATGATTATTAATATTATTATTTGCATGATTATATATTTAATCGCATGTCTAATTGTATGATTATTAATTTATTTATTTGTGTGATTGTATGATTATTAATATTTTTATTTGCATGATTATATATTTAATTGCATGTTTATTTGCATGATTTACATTATTAATTGCATGATTATATATTTAATTACATGATTATTAATTTATTTGTTTGTGTGATTGTATGATTATTAATATATTTATTTGCATAGTTATTTATTTATTTATTATTATTGCATGATTTTATATTTATTACATGATATGATATTACATGTTATTGCATGATTAATATTAAATTTGAATGATATTTAATTGCATGTTTCTACATTTATTGTATGCATAATTGTATGATTATACATAATATATCTGTGTGATTATATTTGATTTTTTGATTATATATTTGCATGAATAGTTATTAATATATTTGCATGGTATTTTATATATTACATGATAATATGTTTACATGATATTATATATTTACACGATTGTTATTATTGCATGATAATTAATATATTTGCATGACATTCTTGCATGAATACTTTAGCATGATCTAGGCATGATATTATTACATGATATTTGGTATGATTTATAATATATTTGCATGATAATTTTTGCATGGTATGATTTAATATTTATTGCATGGTTGTATGATTGTTTGATATTTTGATAAAATTCTTGTATCACCATGTTTTGTAAATAAATAAAAGGATTGGAATTGATTTATTTGCATGATAAAACTATCTTTGATAAGACTTAAGTAAGATAACACATAATTAACTTGGTACTAATTTTGGGCGTAAAGGGGTGCTAATAAATTCCCTGCATGTAACT